CTCAACTCAGCATAGTAGACTGCCAGAGAGCGATACTTCTGATCCAAACCCTTAATCTTCTTACGCAATTCATAGGCATGTGCATCATTCCCTTGTTGAGAATACATCTGAGAGGCAGCTATCCAGATCTTGTGAGCAGTATCCATCAAGAGAAAAGTCCGACTAATGGTAGGCTCTATAGAATTGATGAGCTAGGTCATAACTTAAAATTGATGTATTATTGATTGATGTATGCTGTATATTACAAATGGTGAGGGGCTCCTTATATAGGAGATGTAGTGGAGTAGGTGGTAGTAGGTGGTAGTGGTAGGTGTGTAGTAGGTGGTAGTAGGTGGTGGTAGGTGTAGTAGGTGGAGTAGGTGATGGTAGGTTTTAACAGCCCCCGCAAACTCAAGGGGGATAGGAACTAACCAACTTGAGTTTGGAGAGAGTAACAAAACAAGAAAATAATCTGAAAAATAAAAAATGGATAGGAGAATGGTCGTGTCAGACCGTTGTAGTGGCATCCTTGGAGCAAACTGGCTGGAAACTCTAGTAGAAATCTAGCTCTTGCCACAAACCACTCAACTCAGCATAGTAGACTGCCAGAGAGCGATACTTCTGATCCAAACCCTTAATCTTCTTACGCAATTCATAGGCATGTGCATCATTCCCTTGTTGAGAATACATCTGAGAGGCAGCTATCCAGATCTTGTGAGCAGTATCCATCAAGAGAAAAGTCCGACTAATGGTAGGCTCTATAGAATTGATGAGCTAGGTCATAACTAAAGCATTCTCAGAAATCCATTGAGCAGATAAAGTACTATCCTCAGTAGATGGCTGGGTACTACCAGTAATATAGCCAGTCAAACGCCGAGCGGCAATGGCAAGACTACAGGAGCAGGACCAAATCAAGTAATTAAGACCATTAAGTTTGACCGGACTAATCTGGAGAGAAGGACTATCACCAAGAGTCGGACCACGACTTAGTCCACTCTTCTCCTTGCCCTTAGAATCCTGACCCAAGCTGTCAGCCATGAGATGGGAAAAGAGGGTGCAAAAAAACACAAGCCGGATATCAAACAAGCCCAAAAATCACCCAACCAGCACACCAAAACACCTTCTAAGGCTAAAACAGTCCAAAAGCAGCCCAGAACAGAGCAACCAGATCAACTACAAGTCAAAAAACCGAAGCAGAGCATCTGAACAACGATGAAAAAACCAAGATAGGGCCAAAATACATCAAACCAGGGACAACAAACCCCTCTAGGGTTCCAGTCGGCTCCCAAGGATAGGAGAAGGGACAGAACCAGAAAAAAGTGGGTCAAACAGTGATTTTCGAAAAATCATCCAATTTTGACGAAAAATCAAAAAAATTAGAAAACTCAATCAATAATAACCAAACAATCAAAATGAGATTATAGGGTTAGATTTCGAGCATACTGTAATTTTTATTTTTATTTTTTTTTGGCTATAACAGACGTACCAAGAATAGTATGAAGCCCTAAGGAACAATCTTCAAGGAGGAAGATAGTGCTCTAATACCATGTTGAATGTATAGATGAGAAGAAAAATAAGAAGAAGGAATAGAACGAGAGAAAGCTGCTGTATATTATTATTCAAAAACTTAGGGTTTCCCCCTTACACACTACTACTTATACTAATAAGAATAATACATAAAGACCAAACTACCCCTAACACTTAACGTGTATATATATGGCAGTGTTTCCTTTTCCTATATGGCAGTGTTTCTTTTTCCTTTTTAGTCTTAGGGTTAGGATTACTATATAATCAGATGTATTCTTTGCAATATGACACAATTTGAATATACAAAAAACATTCAGAAATCTTACTACACCGGTCACATAGTGCATCAGAAAATCAAGTAGTATTATATTGCAAATATAATCTCAAGTTTAATGGCAATTTCTATGTAACTTTATAATTTCTTCGATTTTTTTATTCCTTGTCAAGTTTGGTCTTATGCAAGTCAATGGCAAAATGGTAATTATCTACGTCAAACAAATGATGGCAACAAGTTCTATGAAAACTCCTTTTGCCATCACTAAAATGACAAGTTCTTGTTAAACCAGCTTTCCTGTATTGTATTACTAGATTAGAGTTACTAAAGAGCTAGAAAGATCCAATCAACCAAATGTATCAAGTTAGCCAAGCCCAATTGTCTAATTGAAAATTTAGGAACATGCTCGCCTCAAACCCAAGCTAAGCTCAAGCACAACCTAGAAACGATCAAGTTGAGACCAACCACTCCAATGCTTAACTTGGCTTGGTTCAATTCATTTGCAACCCTATCGTGTCATGTGAAGGTGGTGGATCATTTCCCATCTCACTGTTATACCCTAGTTGAAAGGCAATACCTCTCTCATAAGATAAAAAAGGTGATACCTTCCTCATCTTTCAGCAATCGGTATCTATGTACCATATACCTTGTTGACATGATTTTATATAAACCACATATGCAAAAAAAAGAAAAAGATTAATACAAGTTTCCTACGATAGAGATACCAACTGCCAGCATTAATATATCATGACGTCATAACGTCACATAATTAAAAATATAACAATGATAACATTTAAGACAAAATATAAATTAACATAGTAGAAGCTTACAAGAAAGATAATTTTTCATACATATCAAGGGAGAAGCCGAGTGCTTTTCATTGTCCCGGGCCTTTTGCTCAACCCAATTCTATATATTCAGGAAATTATAGTGGTGGGCTCATTTCAGCCAAGGCCTAGGCCCAGTCTCTCCCAACGGGAAGATGGGCCCTTAGTCTAAGGGGTTGTTTGGGAAATGATAGATTAGTATACTTTTTGACTTTTTACGAAAAAATGTGAAATGTGAGTTAGGGTTGAAGTGATATGGTAGAGAGGTGATGTGATCCAAATAAGATGATTGTGACCCAAATATTTTAGCACATGCCAAACAATCTCCAAGTACATGAAGATTGTAAAAGAGTAGCATCTAGCCAAACTGGTTTTAGGGGTGGATTATAAGAAGCCCTGTTATCTATCTTCAAGAAATTGTTTTGCAATTATGGGAAAATTGGTTGAAGAAGAAGAAGAAGATGATCAAGAAGTTGACGGGATTGGTGCTGCGGGGGAGCTAAGGGCACATCATCCAAATGTGTTTACATTGGGGGATCTACTAACTCACAAAGGAAGGTTCGGGGAGCTCCACTGAACTCTTTAAGGATGGGGACTATTTCGGGAGGTGAGGCTAAAGAAAGGGGTCAATTTGGGCAATTCAACAAAGAGTTAGAAGCTAGGCCTACGGTGGAGGTTTGCTTGTGAAGATATGGAGGATCAGGTGGATCAAACAAGTGGGGCAGAGTGGACGATGAGATCAAATGCTCGAATAGAAAAGGACGGTGAGGAAATCAAGGTAGTGTTTAGTAGAGTTTCAGAATTATGATTTGAGAATAGAGTTGTATTTTCAATTTGTGAATTTTGGAATTATGATTTGAGTGTGAAAAATTTGTTTGGTTATAAGTTTTGAAAAGAGTTTTGAATTGAGTTTGAAATTTTTGATGTAACATATGATATTTGATTCAAAAACTTACAACTCAAAACCAAACACACAACCCAAAATTCTATTTAAAGCTCATAAAAAAATTTTAAAAAATTCCGAATATATTTTTTATTTAAAATATAAAAATAACAAGTGCAAAAAAAAAAAAAAATAACCGAACACTATTCCGGTCAACAGGCCTGTCGACCACCCGAATGCCCGGGGGATGACCGGGTAAACATGTTTTGAAAAGTGCGTGTGAAATCAATTTTCTAAAACTGTAACCAAACAACACACTCAAATCAAGGGGTAGAATTAAACTTCAAAAGCTTTACCAAACAGAGCCCAAGAGTTTGGTCAACAAAGTCAATAATAGATAGCAAAATCTTTTGGATTTGGTTGTGTTGATGAAAGGAAAACCTACTGCTATGCTTATAAGGAAACGGAGAAAGAAATGTCGTAGCGGGTTCGCTTGTGTGCCCCCTAACAAACTTGGAGAAAGATGCCTGTAGTGGAGTAGATAATAAAAGTTGAAGCAGTAAAGATTTGGCATGGGAAGTGGGAGAAGTACACAAAGAAATGAAAGGGGGTTAGGTTTGGAGCTTGAGTAGAGGTATGTATGCAGTGGCTGCTACTTGGTTGCAGTCTAAGAAGTGCCGATACTTCTAAACATGTGGCATGTCATGTCAAAGTCGAACACCATGTAGAACACCAGCATGAAACAACATGAACACCTATCGAACACATCCAAACAAGTATTCTTTTAAATTTTCTAAATTTAGACACGCTTCAAACATTTTGAGAACATTAGTGTCTGTCATTCAGACACACATGAAACAAATTACACGTTTAAATAAAACAACTTTATATCCAATGATAAATAATAACAAAAACAATATAAATTTTTTCATATTCTCATCTAAATTAATATTACATTGCATTTTCTTGTGGCCTTTGAATTATAAATTCATATACACGGCATATAATAATTGCTTATACTTATATATAATTTATAATAAATATATGAAACTATATATTTTGTGTCTCTTACGTGTCATGTCCTACATTTTTTGAAATTTTCGGTGTCGTCGTGTTCGTGCCTTAGGTTGCCGTCCTGTGCTTCTTTTTGGGACATTGTTTTCTCTTTTTTCAGAGCCTTTTTTTTTTGTTTTCCCTTCCCTTTCTTCTTTTTCTTTCCTTCATTTGTTTAGGGTTGTGCCCCCTTAGCACACACTCTAATACAATTTTATTTACTTAGCAAAAGAAATCTTTATGAGGATTGACAAAAGTTTGCCAAACTCTGGGATGACTTAAATGGTAGAAGTCACTGGTGGCACCAAACACTAATCGAGATCTGTCACTACAAAAAGAGCCTTAATATTAATAAGGGAGGATTTCCATCTGGACATCTATACTTTTTCAACAGCATTGAATCTTAGACAAGAACTATTAAAGATCAGGATGAAGATAACAAAAATACAGGGATTACCTGGGCTGGAAATTTTCCTCCAAAAGCAGAAGATTCCAAGTTCATTTGTCCACGACAAGTTGCCATGTACACACCATAGAGAAGCTTCAACTCAACATCGAACAGAAAAAGTTTCATGCCTTGCTTTATCTTCTCTACATCTGCCCTTGCTCCAGCAGGAAGCCCAAAAACACGGTATCGAAAGCACTCGGGCTTTGTTTTCCCATTACACATAAAAATAAAACCAGAAAGTTTCTCCAGTTTGTTCTTCGCCTTCTCTTTTCCCCCTGAAGCAGCTCTACTGCCATTAGTGGCAGGAGAAGAAGCATCAACTTGAGGAGGGTCCGACAGAGAGACAGGAGCAGGAGGGACAGCATTAATTGCCTTAACCTTTGAAACCTTCTTCTTCTTCCTCTTCATCTTTTTGTCAGCATCTGGCCCACTTCTAATCTTCCCTTTGTCTTTCAGTTTCTTGTCTCTTCTTTTTGCCATAAGCAAAACTGTTGCAGTGAAGAAAAAACACTGCAACAATTAAATGACTGAAAGCAGAATATTGTCCCAAAAGGAGCGGGGAAATGGGGGAAAGGATTAAAAGTCAGCCACATAACATCATGAAGATTGGGCTAAGGCATGACAAGAAACTTTTTGCTGCACAGAATGAAAAAAGAACAGATTTTGCACCATGAATATAAGCAGCTGCTATTTATCACAAAAAAAAAAAAAATGAATATAAGCAGCTGCTTGAATTCTAATTTTTTTTATTTTTTTATTTTTTTAAAGAAAATAAGTAAAATCCATCCTCTTTCCTACAGATGTATTCTTCCTTCATAACCACAGCTTTTACCCGGTCATTATCCTGTTTTCCACTGTCAGCCGACTGCGATACAATACCTGCTCTGCCTATCACTGCCAGAAGTGATATTTACAGTCAAATGAGTGTTTTAAAAAAATTTATCCCAATGGAATCTATGAGTACATTTCTGCCTTGCACTCCCACCATTACCACTTCCACCTCCACCTCATGGCCATGCAAGGTTCCCAAATCATGTCATTGGTTCCCAAGACGTTATCATCCCTTGGTGTCATTCCAAATTTTTTTCTCAAGCATGAGATAACATAACCTACTTATGTTCTTTCCACAATTCCAACATACATTCTCACCTTTGTTACAATCATTTATCAAAAAATTGTCGTTGGTAACACAACAATCTTCTCTAACCCATGTTCTCACATTGACTCTAGTAAGCAATATATATTGAGAAGGGAAAGAAATCAAGTTCTCCTTGTCATACCCAAGGTCACTCCAAAACCAAATAATATGCCCACTCCCACAACAAATCGAACATTGCTCAAAAGCACAAAACACTCAACTCAAATAACCATCCAAAGCCCCAGACCGTGAGATGATGAGACCTCCAATGATGAACAATCCCTTCATATACCTTCATGCTTCAACTCCACACCATTCTCCATAACCTATCTCTTTCGTAAGCATATCTCCATAACTACATCCCAGAAAGAGCTTGGTTAAAAATAGCAACTCGCTACACTCCCAAACTACCCTCACTGATGGGATAACAAACCATGTCCCCATCCACCAAATTATACCTGAATTTTTCTCCAATTGCTCCCCAAAGAAAACTGTCCACAACTCTTCTTTGCCACAAAAAGGGGGTGGTAAAGGACACAAAATAAGTTGCCAAACTAGATAAAGTGCTTTTGATCAACGCAAGGAGCACCTCCTTTTGATAAAACCTACTTCTATCAACTTACCTACCACTTCTAGAACCTTTTAATGATGCATTCCTTGCCTTAAAAGATGATCCCAGCCCAAATAAGCTGAGGATTCCACCTTACAACCCAAAATGGATGCTAAAACACCAACATTAGGCACATCACCAACTCGAATCAAAGTTGATTTCCCAAGATTCATCTTGAACCCCAATATTGCCCCAAAGCTAAGAACACAACAGAGGTATCCTAATTGTCGAGTATCCACCCCACATAAAACGATGATATTTGCTTGCATGAAGCAAGTGAGACACAAACAGTCAACCCATCAATCATATCAACCTCAAAACCTTCCAAGAAATCTCCCTAAATCACTTTGTCTAGTATTTTACTCAAAGGCTCCATGGCTAAGACAAACAATAAAGGGGGCATAAAAACCCTTTTTTTTTATCGACTAAAGTCAGTGGTTAGTTGTTAAATTAGCAACTCAGGGAGTTGAAACTAATACCCATACACATTGCAAGAAAATCTTGCCCTCCCATTCCACTCCTAAGAGTGGAACCCAAGACCTCCCCCTTAAAAGAGACTTGGTGGCCAAAGGACCAGCTAACTAAGCTAGAGCCCCTTGGTTCCCACATGCAAACCCCTTGAAGACCAAAAAAAACTTAAAGAGTCATTGACAAGAACCAATAGTCTAACATTAATGCATATCCGAATCCAATTTCTCCATCTATACAAATATTCTCCCCATTCTACATAATAAAAGAAAATAATATATTTTAACATAATAGGTTATCATCTTGTACTCTTGATCCTTCTCCAGTTCTTTTCACTTGTCTTTCCATTTATAGTTGTCATATTAATTTGAACCAAACCATATGCTTAACAAAATGTTTAGAAAAAAAAGCACAAAAGCAAAATAGCTACCTATAAGACAGTTAAATTCCATCCTAAAGGAGCGAAGAACAATTCAATAGAAAAGTTTCATACAAAAGCATAATTAGTAACTAAAAGCAAACATTATTATTTACATTAGATATTAATGCAATAGGAAACAAAAACCCAAAATTTTGTTTGAAGAATTTGAGATCATCAGATGAGAATAAAGATATATGATTGCCTCAAAGAGAAATAGAAAGAAATCTCCACTAGTGAATGTTATTGATATATTTAAACACATGAGTTACCATATATGAGAGCTCTAGGGCAATTGTCATTTCAAATTATAGAAGTGGTGCATTGTTTTAAGAGTTCTGCTATATTAACAAGATGGATGTAGAGTTATAAAATTACCATCCACAACGTTGCAACTTAAAATATAAAATTTTCAAACTTCCCATGTCACAACAAATAATTTTAAATACATACCAAAGTTTTCCTCAAGAAATATATACATACAATACAAAGCATGCATGGTATCTCTTGAACTTTACTTTTCTTAAAATATTTTTTTAGAATCTCTCGGTATCTATTCTTGATGATGTGTCTTTCAAAGGGGTTGACCGTGACAAAAGAGTTTAGACCACTCATTCTTTCAAAGTTTTTTTCTTGCAAGTCATTCTTCATTAAACATATTAATAATCTAAGTGTGTCACCATTTGATGCAAAATGATTTGGAATGCATATGTAACTGTCGAGGCTAGAGTATTTGAATGGTCCATGGCCCGTAAAAAAACTCAACCCTAATAATATTGATTCATAAAAGGAGACCTAACCGTCTCTTGCTCAATTCTTCTCTTTATACTTCTCTATTAATCTTCTTAGTAAATACATCAGTTCTATGATTTATTAACCAGACATAAACCCAAACTGATTCTCTGACACTCCTGTTAAGGTTGTTCAAATATCCACCCGACCCGATGAAACTGACAGTCCCAACCCGGACCAAACATATACGGACAGTTTCAACAATATACTCAGTTGGCTACGAGTAAAAAGGAGCCATTTTCATAGGTTCTCAGTCGAGTAATGGGCCTCGTGTAAGAAAACCAGCATAAACCGACTCAACTAATATATGTATGTAATATATTCTTTTGATGTGTTGTATTATGATTGGTGCTCTCATATTACAATTATTTCTAACCTAGGGCTTTTAACCAACTCTGATTGTTTCTCTTGATTCATGAGTAATACCTCTTTCTCTCTTTGCAGTACATTGATTGCTCTCTATTTCTCTCCACTCTTTTGATATTCTTTTTTTTTCTTTACTCAAAAAAATCTACACGTCCTCCATTTATGACATTCATTACTCTCTCTCTACTCTTTCTACCATCTCTTCCATTTATTACATTCAATAACTCTCTCCCACAATTTCATTAAATGACTCATCAACTTAATGCCTCTATAATTGTTGCAATTTTAAGTATTCCCTTTATTTGTATATATCTATGAATACCTTATTAGTTATCTATGCAAAGATACATTCTTGTATCTCAAATTCATCCAAAATATATCTTGGAAATACTATTAATTCAGAGAACAATAGGGAATACCAATAATAAAAAATAAAACCAAGTTGGTCCTTCAAAAATTAGTAGATATTAGATGTTATAAATTTACAGAAGATTGTAGGCACTGGTATCATGATGGCACCAGAGTAGAACAGTACATGATGACTTCAATGCTATGTTTTTAAGAGCGCGGAACTAGAATGGGAACGAGAATGGGAATAGGAATGGCACGTGGTCTAAAATGCGGTATGATAGGGGCAGATTTGTATAGATTACAATACAAAAAAAAATTAAGATACTTTTAGAGTAAATTTCTTTTCTTTTTAACAATTTGTGTTACTAGAAAGTGCTAATACCCTAGCGAATTCTGTATTGGTGTGCATGTTCCGAAATATGATACGCTTTTGTTCCAAAATAGTAAGTTTAGTGATCCGAAGCGATCTCAAAAGTTTTTTCCAATATATTTCCTTGAATGTTTCCTTAGGAGAAAAAAATCAAATATAATGAATTAAATCTAAGGTAAGGTAAGTTAAGTTTTGGCAAAACAAAACATCATGAATAGGTCATAATGCTTATAGAATTGTTTTCCTACTTATAAAAAATAAAAAAGAAACAAAATTAAAATTAAAAAAAAAAACCTACATTTTATTAAATGCCTAATAGTTAAAAGAAAATTAGTTAAGTACTTTAAATTCTTAAGTGTAATATATACAAGTCTTCCCCTATCGTACAATATTTTAGAGCATGCGGCGTCCACGTTCTCATTCCTATTCCATATAGCGGAACAATCCACATACTAGGTAACATATATTCAATAAAAATATAGGGTTTTGTTTCCCAAATTAATCATGTAGCAAAAGATTTCTACAAGCATTAATTTTGACATTTTATCATGTCAAAATTTCACTCACCTTAGATTATAATTCATTATATTTGAATTTTTTTTCCTAAGGAAGCTTTTAGGAAATACATTGTAAAAAAATTTTGGGATCACTTTGGATCGCTAAATTTATCAAGTGTACTATGTTTCAGAAAGCGCATTCCAAAACGTAATTCTCTCTAGTAAAACTGCTTCAATGGCACATTTTCCTATTAAAAAAAAAAAAGGGTCAAAGAAAGACTTGCAATCTCCAATACTCATATATGTACTATAAAGTAGAATACAGGACTAACCATAACATCAACACACCACAAAACTGAGGGTCTTACCAATACAGTAGACTAACACGAACTCATGTAATTATTGTTTCCCTCAAAATCATACACCCCCCACCCCCCCAACACAATAAATAAATAGAATAAACACGCATAAATAATTTGAGAACTGAATTTCAAATGATCCAGTCGAAATTAATGAATCAAAATACAAAATAAATGAACACATTTCTTTCGATAATTTCAAAAACACACACACACACACACACATACATAAATTGAGTATAGAATTTCATAAGGTCCCGTCCAAACACAGGCACCAAAAATCATCAGAAAACGTCCGATTCCATAAAATCAAAATCTTAAAGAAATGCACACATCTGCACGCACAGATACAGATATATATATATATATATATAACCCTAATTGAGAGAGAGAGAGAGAGAGAGAGAGAGAGAGAGAGAGAGAATTGTGTTTGACCTCAACAGAAGCTTTCGAAGCGCAATTGAGAATTTTACACAGAAAAGGCTGAAGGCTTTGAAGGGTTTCTAGCCAAGTTCTTGCTGAGAGAATGGTTTGAAAGGCCAAGGGCATCGAATCGACGGCTTGCATGGGTTCGAGTTCCACGTGGACGTACCAGATCCTCCGCTGCTAAATTGGTACACCCGTTTTAAATCGATCATTTTTACCACAGCAACTTTAGGGTCTGGGTTCAACCAAAAAATAAAATAAAATTGTAACGAATGGTTAATTGTTTAACGAATGGTTAATTGTTTAAGTTTTGTTTGAAAATTTTTATGGATTATAAATTTATTTAAATTTTTTGAGTTCATTTTTAATGAATTTTTGTCAAGTTGAGCTCTATTAATTTAGTATATTTATATGATTTTAAATTTATTAAATTGAGTCAAACGAGTAATTAAATGTGCAATTTTTGTTTGCAAATTTTAACAAAATCCATGTTTAAGATTAGTTTATTTACTTAAGAAATTAAGGGATTGTTTGGCATGTACTAAATTAGTATATTTTTTTATTTTTTACGAAAAGATATATAGAAAAATAGATAGATGATGTGACTAAAAATAAAAAATAAAAAATAAAAAAAATGCACTTCTTTAGTGCTAGCCAAACAACCTCTAAATTCAAATGAATTTTTGAGGATGCAAACCCGAGTTGAGCTTGAACGGTTTGGTTCGTGTATCACCCATGTTCAAGATTATCTTATTTACTTAATTAATTAAATTCGAACGAATTTTTAAAGAAGCAAACACAAGTCGAGCTCAAACTATTTGGTTGGCATATCACTCCTAAATCCAATTTTAGACTAAATCGTCTGGCTTGATTTAAAACAAGAGATGTTTTGATTTTTAAAATAGGCAAATTGTACTTCACGATTCGGCCTATAATTTTACAGTTATGAATGCCATTGAAATGAACCCGGCCAATTAATATATATATATATATAATATTTTACCTACCATAAGCAATCCAATATACTAGAGTAAATTACATTGACCTCCCTGAAATTTGCCTTAATTACAGATACATCTCTTGTGATTTCAAAAATAACACATACCTCCCTTGCTTTTCAAAATAATAGTCAAATTCTCCCTTCCCGTCAAAAAAGCCTTAACGACGTTAACTTAAAGTAGAATTGACCATAATACCCTCCAATACATTAGCTTCCACAAAGACTTAATCCATTATGTATCATCATCATCTTTCTTACTCTACTATCCATTTCTGCCAATGTCTTCCTCACACTCTCTTCCCAAGCCTCTCTCATCAAAAACCCAAAACCCAAACCAACAATAACCCCTCTTATACACACTCAAATCGCTAAGTCAGCTTGCAATGGAACTCTCTATCCAGACCTCTCCGCATTCCCAAATCTCTACAAAGTTAAACCAAATTAATCACATTCAGACTCTTAAATCCAAGAAAACACATGATATATGACTATATATATACAGTATAGATATACAACACCATTCAAAACCATTGTAGGTTATTAATAAGCACGAAAGTGAAAGAGAGTGGAGGAAGGTGACGGCGGGAGATATCACGAGATGAGAGAAAGAAACGGTTTTGAGGTCGCCGATTTAGATCTCTCGACCATTTCTAGATTCAAACCTAACCTCTCCGATCGTTAAAAAACCATATCATCGTTGGAGTCTTCATCTTCGACTTCGCCGCTAAACCATGGTATTGGTCTAGATTTAGGGTTAAGGTAGGTTGATTTACAGATCTGCAGATGTTGGTATTGGATTAGCGACGACGAAGAGGCGATGTGAAGGTCTTTGGCGACAACGAACGACAGAGAAGGAGGTGCTACAGCGGAGGAAGAGATACTGCGATGGTGGTTCTCTAGTCATCACTGTTCGCAGGAGAAAACATTTTGCATCAACGATTGTGGGGGGGAGAGAGAGAGAGAGAGAGAGAGTGAGTGAGTGGGAGAAGAGAGTAGATCATAGGAGAGAGACGATCTGTGGCGGGGACAGAGAGATAATGAGAAGGAGAGAGGTAAAGCATAGAGAGAGAGTGAGAAAGAAGAGAGATGGAATGGCTGGGTTTTGATCGTACAATGATATATATATATATATATATATGTAGGAGGTAAGGGTAGTATTGGAATTTGCAGAATAATTATGGATGACATCAGTAGAATATATTTGAATTTGGACGGATGGGTAACATGTGAGAATCTTTATATATTAGTTTCAAAAGTAAGGGAGGTCTGTGTCATTTTTGAAACCACAAGAGAGGTATTCGTAATTAAGGCAAACCTCAGGGGAGGTCAATGTAATTTATCCAATATATTATTAGTATCACATATATATATATATATAAATTATAACCAAAAGGTTGTCTCCAGTCTATTTTTTAAGAGATAAATATAATAAACTAATATGGTTACGGTTATTGGATTGACCTAATTTTTTTTTTCATAAATGATCTACATTTTGTGATTAAAAAATGAAAAAGTAGGGGAGTTCCTAGCCATGAGAGCTATCATTATGAGGGTCATCAAAGGCCAGTAACCTCTAGCCATTAGGGTTAAAGTTACAAAGGTTTAAAACTCATGGAATTTTTAAATATATATAGTTTTAAATAAATATATATATTTATTTGTATATATTAAGCACATGGAATTTTTAAACTCTTATAACTCTCATCTTTTAATAATATATATATAATGATGTTTGAATAATTTATACAAATGGGTCACAAAATCGATACCAGCATTGGGTCATAACCTAACCAAGCCCAATCTCAAACACATACACAAGCTAAGGCCAACACAGCCCAGCCCAACCCAAACTTAAGATTAAGTCTAAGTCCAAGTCCAAGTCCAAGTCCAAGACCAAACCCAACACATGCACAAACGTAGGCCCAGTCCAAACTAATACTAAGGCCAAATCTAAGCCAAACTTTTATTGATGCCCACTTTATAAGATAATTCTCATTCACAACTTAATAGTTTTTGCTCATTATTTTTGTATTGTAATCTTCTTATTTAAGAGAATACAACCCCGCTCGGACCCACCTTAACCAACGGCTGGGTCTCACTTTAATTTCAAATTTAAATTGTCGAAAAATCATTATTTCCAACAATTCCCCATATGAATAAAATTGGTGAAATAAAGAAAAACAAACAACAATTAACAACAAAGACTCGAAGAGATAGCAAACAGAATAACCCTGCATTAGAAAAGGTAGTTGTTGGCCTTGAACCTTTTATAGTGAAAGCCTATTGGATTTACTGGCTGACCAGTGAATGTGATATCTTGAATTGTTCTGTCGTTTGTGTAAACCGCGACAATAAACCTCACATAGGAGTCATTCCAACCATCATTTTGTTCTCATTGTTATGTCCGGTTTGACCCTGGAACACTTTCCTGGTTCAATGAGTATTTTTAAAGAATTTGGCCTTGTCAATTCTTAAAGAAGTGGCCCTACTTTGCACTCACATAGGCGACCTACATAAGGTATCTCCCTATACCACGGTTGACTATTCACGACACTTAGGTCATTAAAAGCATTAGTTTAACCTTCCACTCCACAAGGTATCACTGTATTAAAAAATGGGTAACAGGATTTACCTCTTTAGTGACTTACCCGTTACACGCAATTAAATTGTCCCTTTGAATCTAGATCTTGAGATCTCCATTCAACTAGGTTGGGTTTTCTGTTTCGGTAATATTTGCTAAAGGTCTTAACCACATTCCTTTTGATAACTTCTTACTAACTCTCGTTTTAACCCTTTGGTTAGCAGATCCACAATATTGTCTTTAGACTTTACATAGTATAAAGAGACAACACACAAGAGTAGTCGTCGTATGGAATTATGTTTTTAACGAAATTATCTAGACTTTCCACTTGTGCCCTACCAATACTTGATTAGTTGTCGTAAAGTATACAAAATTGCTAGCTCAAGTTTCGATCAACATGGAATATTCTCACGAAAATGAAAAAGCCATTCAGCTACTTCAGTAGCTTTATCTAAAGCATTGAATTCCGATTTGATCATTGATCTCATGATACATATCTGCTTGGAAGATCTCCAAGACATGGTTGTAGCTCTAATTAAAGAAAAAATATCCACTAATGGGTTCGTAGTTTTTATATCAGATATCCAATAGGCGCTTTTGTACCCTTCTAGTAGAACTGGATATCAAATGTGATGCAACCTAAAAATCCAAGCTTTATCGTAAGTATGTTAGTACCCGCACAAACGCCTTCTAAAGATAGGCATTAAAAATTACTCGTGTATTTACTTAGCCTGCTGACTGAGTAGGATATACCTGGCCTTGTACAACTCATCAGATACTTTAAACTTCCAATGACCCAAGAATATTCTAGTTGAAATACACGTTCACTATTATTCTCGCCTAAATGTAAACTGAAGACTAACAGTGTCCTCAACACATTTGTATCTAATTTACTAAATTTCTCAAGTATCTTATCAACATAATGAAGCTGAGAAACTACAATATTACCAGATGTTCTGGTAATCTTAATACCCAGAATCACATCTGTAAAGCCCATATATTCTATGTCAAACTTAGAGTTTAACGACTTCTTGGTAATTCTGAACATCATCTCATAATTACCAATTGTACAGACACAAACTAACATATCTATTGGTCAGTGTCTCTGACATATACACATTTGTCAATACCTGTTTATTTAAAACCCACTTGACAACATTATGTTGTCAAATTTCACATCCCATTATTTCGGTGCTGGTTTCAAATCATATAATGATTTTCCAAGCTTACAAACTTTTCTAGTCCTAGAACTAACAAACCCTTCGGATTATTCCATGTAGATTTATTCAACTAAATCTTCATATAGGAAACCTATCTGAACATCCATCTTAATGTATCTCCAAACTTTGCACAATTATGATCACATTCACCATAACTAGTGATCACGTATCAAAGTAATCTAGGCATTCTCTTTGCAGATATCCTTTAATAACAAGCCTATCTCATCGGCTTTCATCCACTTGCATCCCAAGGCTTACTACCTATGTAAGATCAAGTTAATTTAATAACTTCTGTTAGTCATAGCATGAATAACATAGATTTTGATGATTTTGTTTTGATTTATGTTTTGATTATTTGAAAGAG